GCCCTTGGTGAGATCTGAGATTCTCCTGGTTATTGAGTTACTTCGCTCCCAATGGGAGAACACCTTCACTTTGTACTGTCTGGTACATATTCTCCTATGTATACTTTCTCTGACTTCTATTTTGCTACTCATTTGGATAAAAGGGTTTCTTCTCTAGTTGTTATGTATGTTCATTGTAGAACTAATATTCAGTGGGATGAGAGTCAAGCCTTGGATATAAAGCTTGGGGTCTTGCTTCCCTTATTAATGAAACAGCAATCAGAAGTTAGCTTGAACTAAAAAATTACATCCCTTAGACTATCAATTTAGGGGAGCAGAGTGATATTATTTTAGCTCAATAGCCATTCTCTCTGAGGACAGCAGAGAAGCCTCCAGACCCAACCTCCTTCCTTCCCCTTCTGGTGGGAATTAAAGTCTCCCTTGGAGAAGGATAGGGGAAGAAGAGGCTAGAAATGTCAATTCTGCGTCCCTTCAAGCCACACAATGAGATACACATACTATACATAGGGGATAGCCCTGGCCACATAAACATTGACCATTCTATTTGACTAGTTATGTTGCCTCTGCATGCTTACCATAGTCATCTGCTGGCTGTTTTCTCATTCTTCTTCACTTCAAACACATTTTTAAATGTTTCTTTGGACTTTTAAGGTTATTTTAAAGTTCATTTGCCCCTATATTCATGTGCCAAATGTGATGGTTTCACCATATTTTTAATTGTAAAAAGAATTTGTTATAAACATCTTTGCAGATCTTTTCCATCTTTTGTCTGTTATTCTCCTTCCAGTCTCACCCTTAGATTCTTTCAGGATGAAGATATTTAGTCTATCCATAATCACAATGAAAGGGAGCTTGGCATAGTAAATAGAGAACCAATCTAAGAATCAAGAAGACCTGAGTTCAAGTCCTGGCTGTGTGACCCTAGGTGTGTGACTTCTAGGCAATGCTCTAGGCAACTCTCAAAGACTATATATTGCAGAGAAGTTGCCAGGGTACATTGACAGAGGGAGTTTCCCCATCTGAGATTTCTCTATAGCAATAAAATTCCAAGTCCTATTCTTCTCTCTATAATTACTCAAAAAAAATTTGGCCTATTTTTCCCTATAGGGAAAAGCCAAGTGGATATATGTAGAAATACCTGTCCCTAACACAGGCATAGAAGGAAGGACAGGTATGAAGGTATTAATGCCCAGAAGCCCTTTTGAATCCCCATCTTGTAATGTTCTGGACTAGGTTCCTCCCAGTGCTTCAAATGTCAATCCAGTGTTTAAAATGTAAACTCTTTCACATGCAATATTTCATAAATTTGTCATAAATTGACTCATTTGCCTCCACCCAGAGTTTAAACTCTGGGAAAATGCTGGATATATGCTTCATTTCCCCTCTAGATTTTTATCTCCCTTCACATGACCCAAAAGGAAAACACTCTTGTTAAAAATTAGCATAAATTTACTGCATGAAATCAGAATTAAACGATACAGCATTAGACTTCTAAGCAACTGGGCCGCACCCACCCTGGCGGGTGAAAGGCCTATAATCTCTACCCAATCTCTCATCTAGGTATTCCCAACCCCCTCAAGTGATATGTAAGTCATAATTTATAGTCATGTCAAGACATGACATACAAGATAGATACAGAATGAAATGGAGGCAATCTCAGAGGGAAGACATTAGCTTTGGGGAATGAGTAGGGTGGGAAAAATCTCTCAGAAGGTAGTCCTTGAACTTAGGTCTTGAGGGAAGTCAGGAGGCAGAGGTGAAGAGGGAGAATGTTACAAGTCTGAAGGACAGCTCATGAAAAGGTATGAGAATGGTACTGGGAAATGGAAGTTGTGTGCCAAGAATATGCAGAAAGCTGACGTTGCTAGATCATAGAGTACAAAGAAGAGAGTAAAGGGCAAGAAGACTTTAGAGTAGGAAGGGCCAGGTTGTGAAGAGCTTTAGATGTCAAATAGGATTTTATGTTTGGTCTTCAAGGTATTAGGGAACCACAGAGTTTTTGGAGTGGGGGAGTTGCATGTTCAGACCTATGCTTTAGGAAGCTGTCTTTGGGCAGCTGAGTAAAGGATGGATTGGAGTGGAGAGATTCTCAAGGTAGGGAGAACAGTTAGGAGGCTATTGCAATAGTATAGGCATGAGATGATAAAGACCTGTGCCACGGTGACAGCTGTGTCAGAGGTGAGAAGGGGACATAGAGGAAAGAAGGGGGCATATAGGAAAGGTGTAGCAAAGGTAGAAACATAGAAAGGTTGACCACTCTGCAGCCTTTGACTCTGTCTAGCACCCTGTTCCCCTTGTTGCCTCTCTAGGTTTCCATGACAGTGTTCTGTCTTGGTTCTCCTCTTATCTCTCTTGACTCCTTCTCAGTCTCCTTTGATTTTTCATCCAGGTCCCCCCCACTAACGATGGGTTTTATACCCAAGGAGCTGGTGAAACAGACAAGGAAAACAGATATCATATGATGCTCATAAAGTCGAAGGCGAATGATCAACAGTGTTAAATGCTGTAGAGAGGTCAGGAAAATGAGGACTGAGGGAAGACAGCAGATTGAGAAATAACAGCAGATTGAGAAATAAAGAGGTCATTGGTGATCTCTCAGAGAGCAATTTCAGTGAAGAGTCAGGGGAGGAAGCCAAATTGCAAAGAGTTAATGTGAGAGTGGGTGGTGAGGAAGGGCTTTGTTTTTCTTCCTCAGAACAGCTTCTCCCAGAGCCCAGAAATATGTCTCAACTTCTTCAAAATCTTGAGAGAAAAAATATATTCCTACCTCAATTCTTGTGTCACCCAGACCCTTTGGGAAGTCCTTTCTGTTGTCTATCCTTTTCCCTTCTGTTGTCCAGCCTTTTCTTCTTCTTTCTGCCCTCCATAGAGAGGACAGCCAGTGTAACACCTCTCCTTTCAGAAACCTACATTCCAGAAATTTATGTGTAGGGCCAACAATAGGGGACTGGAGGGAAGTGTGGGTATGTTGAAGAAAGGATGGATCGAATGCTAGGCAGTTTTCACTCAGTGTGATTCACTCAGTAAGCTAATTCACTAAGAGATGATGTGAAATAAAGAGGTCCTGGGCTGAGACTTGGGAATCCTGGATTCTTCTAGACTCTTTCACTAACTTGATATATGACCTTAAGCATGTCAATTCCCTTCTCTGGGCTTTAGTTTCCATATTTGTAAAATGAGAGGAATGCGACTTTTAGTCATTTTCAGTCATGTGTGACTCTTCGTGATCCCATTTTGGGTTTTCTTGGCAGAGCTACTAGAGTGGTTTGCCATTTCCTTCTCCAGCTCAATTTACAGATGAGGAAACTGAGGCAAACAGGATTAAGTGACTCGCCCAGGGTCACCCAGCTAGTGAGTGTCTGAGGCCAGATTTGAATTTAGGAAGATGAGTCTTTCTGACTCCAGGCCCAGTGCTTTGTGCACTATGGTGCCACCTAGCGCCCGCTCTGAATACTAGGGATAGCTCTTCCCTGGGAGCAGGTGTGATATACTCTTCCCTGTCACTGATTGCTGACATTCCAAGCACTGGAGAGAAGGGAAGATTCTTGGGAGGAGGGAAAAGAAGGGTGTTGTATTGTAATGGAAGGCATTCTGAATTGGGAAACAGGAGTCATGGGGTTCTACTCTTAGCTCTGCCATTTAACTAGTTGTACAATCTTGACCAAGCTATTCCCCTTCTCAGTGTCTCAGTTTTCTTATCTCTAAAATGAGCTTGTTGGACCAGGAGGCCTCTTAAGGCCCCTTCCAGCACTAAAAGAGGCTGCATGGTGGAGTGGGTAGGGAGCTGATTTTGGAGTGCACAAGACCTAGAAAGTCCTGTCTCTGACATATGTTGCCTGTTTGATTTCTCAGAGGTCTAGGCAATTTCTCTAAGACTGGAAGATGAAAAGTTGATGCCTCTCTGTATTGGTACAGGGGATTTTCACATTAATCTTTCCCTATGCCAGTGAAGAGAGCAGCTAGGTAGTGCCATAGTGCACAGAGCACTGGGCCTGGAGTCAAGAAGACTCATCTTCCCACGTTCAAGTCCAGACACTTATTAGCTGTGTCACCCTGGGCAAGTCACTTGACCCTGTTTGTCTCAGTTTCCTCATCTGTAAAGTGAGTTGGAGAAGGAAATGGCAAACCATTCTAGTATCTTTGCCAAGAAAACCCCAAATGGCATCATGAAGAGTCTGACCCGACTGAAAAATGACTGAACATGCCAGTGAAATCACAGATCTGGTCACAATAAAAGTCTGTGATTCCAAATGAGGGAAAGACTGTGTCTTATTCATTTTTGTTCCCCTACAGTATGGAGCACGACACCTCCCACATAGTAGGTGCTTACTATTTTAGAAAGTTAAGACATTTTATTTCTGATCTGGTATGCAGTTTGTAAATCTAGCCAGTGGGTGGCAGTGCCTCTCAAAAAACAAAAACAAAAACAAACAAAAAACTCCAAAAAAACCTGAGCACAAGAAATTTAAATTTTAGATGAAAATGGGCATTTGAAAATGACATGAGGGAACAGTCCTTTGGAAGAGAGGGCAGAAGGGAACCCTAGCCCCTAGCAAACCAATTTGACATGTACTTTCACTACTAGACCAAAGTACATGGTTCATGTGTAATTGGGGCCTGTGAATTGCCTCCCTGATTATTTGAATTATTATTTTTTTCTTTGTTTTTCTTTTTTTTTTGCGAGGCAATTGAGGTTAAATGACTTGCCCAGGGTCACAGGGCAAGTGAACTCAGGTCCTCCTGACTCTAAGGCCGGTACTCTATCCACTGCGCCACCTGGCTGCCCCTGAATTATTATTTTCTTATGAATCCACAAGGTAGAAAGAATGAGTGGTGGGTGACTCGGGTGCTGCGGATCACCTCTTCTCTTTCTTCCATGGTTGGAGGCGACAAGGAAGGGGGAAATCCACATAGCCCGTAAGGCCAAGTAACTGGCACAAAGAAATTTCCATGGATAAATCTCAGAGCCTTCTTATAAGACAGTGGAGAGAGTTCCTAAAATCTGGGCATGAAAACAGCAGCTCCACCACCTCTCATCCCACCCCATCCCTTCCTCTCCCTGAGCTAAGAAACTCGGGTGTTTTGGTGCCCAGTCCAGGTCTGACCAGGAGCTCAGGCTCTGTTCTTTAATGGCTCACTGAGCAGCCCATCCCAGATTTATTATCCTGAACCTTTCCTCCCCAGCTGTCAGAGATCTAATCATCAAATTTTATCTTAATATCTATGTTGGGGGTGATAGGAGAGGAGGCAAGGAAGGGGAGCTAGAAAGGTGTAGATGAAAGTCTATGAGAACAAATTGACCTCACCCTCTCCCCTGGAACCTCAGCTCCTTATCTCCCCATTCTAACAGTGGCTTTCCCTCCCTGGTACTTTTCCCTTCTCTTTTTCAGGGTAGGGGTGGAGGGAAAGAAGCTTGGTGTTCCAATTGGTAGGTTCTGAAAAGAGCATTTTCACCAGGGTGGTCTGTATGTGTTGGACTGGGTACTCGTGGGCTCTGTCTCCACAGACACAGACCTAGAAGAGGGGGAGTCTGCAGTAAAGGGGGATACCTGGAGACTGAGGCAGTAACGAGAACACAGTGGGTCGGCAAGGGAGCCTTGAGTCTTCCTCTTCCTTCCTTGTTCCCCTTAAGCACTAATTCCTCAGCCTAACACTAGGCAGTGTCTGAGAGGACACTGCTCCTTGGACATTGGGAAAATTGCTAGATGACCCTTAAAACACCCCCACTTCCCCAATCCAATTCCCCTCTCGATCAGTCATTCAATAACCTTCAGGCAAAGGTAGAGGGAAGACACTAGGCACCACATTAGAGTTAGATGGAGTCCAATTATCTATGGACCATCATCATGTCCCTAGGAAAGAGGCCCGGTAGTATTGTTCTTAACCCAGAAGTAAAATCTGCAATCAGAACTTTCCTCTCCTCCACCTTCTCTGTTTTCCTTTTCCTCTGGAACGCCTTCTCCCTGCCCTGTCCCTATCCAGTTATTTTCCCAGCTCCTCCCTCCACCAAGAGGACAGAAATTCTAGTGTGTTCCCTTGGAGTAGTAGGGGGAGGCCATCTACTTTGTCCTGCCCCACCTATCACCAACCTTGACCAACAGGGAAGGGGTGGTGTCCCATTACCACTTCACCCCTAAAGATGTGGGTGTGGCTTGGGGCTGCTGGCAGATAGATAGATGCAGTAAAGACAACATAAATTCAGAGCTGCCTGCCTCAAGAGACAGTCCCACCTCTTTCCAGCTTCCATACCTGGCAGTCATCTATCCTGGCACTGCTGCTCAGGCCCAACAGATAGGTGATATCCTCAAGATGTCCACACCCAATGTTTCCACCCTACTGCCTTTGTTCTTCTGGGCCAATACCTGTAATGGTGAAGTGCTAAGCATGGATGATGCTGCAGTAACAACTGACTACCTGGCACTTAGAGTCATAGTTGCCCTGGCCTATGGACTGGTGGGAGTGATAGGCCTCCTGGGCAACCTGGCTGTGCTATGGGTGTTAGGTGGGTGTAATCAACAAACCTCACATCCAACAAGCGACACCTTCATCTTCAGCTTGGCATTGGCTGACCTGGGGTTGGCACTCACCTTTCCCTTTTGGGCAGCTGAGTATGCTTTGGATTTCCACTGGCCTTTTGGAGGCATTCTCTGCAAAGTGGTTCTGACAGGCACTGTCCTCAGCGTTTATGCTAGCGTCTTCCTCATCACTACTCTCAGCATTGTTCGATACTGGATGGTGGCCGTGGCTGCTGGACCAGGAACTTGCCTGTCATCCTCACAAGCCTTTGGGACCAGCCTGGTAGCATGGGTGGCTGCAGCTGCAGCAGCAGTCCCCACAGCAATCTTTGGGGTTGAAGGTGAGGTGGGAGGAGTTCAACTGTGCCTGCTTCGCTTCCCTAGTATTTGATGGTTGGGCGCTTACCACTTACAGAAGGTCATGCTGGCCTTTGTGGTACCTCTGAGTGTCATAGCAATGAGCTATCTGATGCTGCTGGCATTCTTTCGGCGACAGCAGCTGAGGCAGAGGGACAGAGTGGTGTCCCACTCTATCCGGATTATCATTGTGTCCTTTTTCCTCTGCTGGTTCCCTAACCACGTTGTCATATTTTGGGGAGTCCTAGTGAAGTTCGACATCGTGCCTTGGGACAGCACCTACTATGCCCTTCACACCTATGTCTCCCCTTTCACTGTCTGCCTGGCACGAAGTAACAGCTGCCTCAATCCTGTTATCTACTGCTTCTTGTGCCAGGAGTCCCAGCAGGCACTGGGCAAGGCCCTGAGGCAGCTGTGGGCACAGTTGCCTGGTGGGAGACGAGCCCAGCCAGAGCAAGTAGCCCTTCAAAAGAGGAGACAACAGGAGGTGGTGGACACCCATAAGGGTGGGCTTTCCACCACTCTCACTAACATGGATTGGGGGGGTACAGAAACAAGAAGATCTTCCCCCATATAAATTATATTTCCCTCCCTTCCTAGCATCTACAGGACACCAGACCCTGGCACCCAAGCCTGGGAAGGAGTTGTCCCAAACTCTGCCAGGCCATGACACCTTGGGATTTGATCTTTGATCCTTAACTTCTGTCTGGGGTAGAGTACATGAGTTCAAAGCCCAAGGCAGGGTTGGGTGCCAAGAAAACCTAGGTCCCCATTTGTTGTTGGGGTGGGGGTGGAGGGAAGAAGGGGAAGAAATGTGAATAAACTTTTTTGTTTTCTACTATCTCTGTGTCTCCATGTCACCCACTGGCACCACTGCTCTGTCTGGAGAGGTATTCTTGACTAGTTGGCCCTTCCTGACTTCTCCCTACAGTGGTACTCTTTTTCCCACCATGAAGCAACCCTCAGTAGTTCCAGCTCACAAGGGCGAGGTCTATGATCAGCTTCAGCTGATGACTCTGGCTCCCTACTAGCATCACTCCCCTTTCAACTTGGACTCTTTTCAGCAGTTACAGCTAAAATCCAACCCCAAACTAGAGTGTTCCCTTCGTCCTTGAACATTAGCCATGACTGGACAATGCCAGGGTCATAGATTTACAGCTATTAGGCTGTAGAGGTTTGTCCAATCCCCTCATTTTATAGATAAGCAAATGGAAACCTAGATAGATGAAGTTGACTTGCCCACATCATTTAAATCCTAACTTAGGGAAACCGGATCTTCCCTAAACTTCGTGCTCATTTGGTTCCACCATACTGTCTATGGGTAAAACAACCTGCAGGCTTAGGTTATCCCCATCTCTGGGGATTACTGGGGTTACTACAGGAAACCTGTTGCCAGTAGGAATGCCCAAGCATGAAATCCTTCAGGAATATTAAGGGGGATAGGGGGAACTGAATCCTTAGCTATCTAACAGCAATCTCCTTAAGTGCCAGCTGGAGCAGGATGGGTTTAGGGGGTGGGGATGGAAACAAGGGGTAGGAGAGCAGCAAATAGCTTCCAGGGAATAGTTTTCCCCTCCATTCTCTCCTCACTTCCCTTGTATACCCCAAAGAGAAGAAAGGTAGGAAGGAGGGTAAAAGGAACTTTGAGATGCTATTTTATTCCCTGAAGACCCTCAGTAAAGGAATGCCCACCTCCTAAAACACGTGGTGAATTCTTGCGGGGAGGGAGGAGAGTGAGAACCTGCCATTGAAGCTGGGAGAACAGAAGTCAGGAAGATATGAATTATCTACTGGATCACAACATGGGAGGTTGGAACCACGGAGGCCTTTAAGTGGCAAGGGTCCTGGAACAGGAAGATGGCAGTATCTAAGGAGATATGAGAAGGAAAAGGACACCCCTTTGTTTTCTGTAGGTATGTGACAGAGGTCCTTACTGAATACCACTGAATGGCAAAGCTCCAGAGTAAAGCAGATGACCTCCAGGCAGTCCCAACAGACTTCATCTCTATCTAGTTCTTGGCAAAAAGTGCATTAAACAGTAACCTGATTTGCAGCTTGTTAATCAGTACTATTAATGATGTATAACTGGTGTTTCTCTTCTTGGTGGTTCATTTCCTCTTTTCTGTGTTGAAGCCCAGCTCCAAAATTCTTATGTTCATTCTTAGTCAATTCAAAACAGAAAATTCTCCCCTGGCCCCTTAGGTACAGCTCTTTTTCTCTCCCAGCAGCTCTTCTGAGGGCTATCCCTAAACACCAAGTACCAACTAGATACTGGCTCCTCTGGGGGCATCTCCACTTTATGGTCAATATTGATAGATGAAAACAAGGAACAAGCCATGTGGGTGTGATCTGGAGCTGGAAGGAGCTTGTGTATATTTGGTGGGAACAAGGGGAGGGAGGAATGCAGAGGACTAGTAGCCCTAGACTGGGGCCTCTATAAGTGGGGCTCCTGGTTCCCCAAAAGGCAGAATAAGAGGTGGTGGAGTGATTCTACAATGGGCAGGATCAGAACAAAGGAGGCTTTCTAAAATGTTGTAAGGAAGAGGTGGAGATGGGGAAGAGGTAACTGCCCTGATTGGGAGTGAAAACACCCTCCCAATGTAACCTAGGGCGAGCCATTGACATTCTCTTGGCCTATTTCCTTATCTGTAAAATGAAGGGCTAAAAGTGTTGAAGGTCCCTTCTAGCTCTCTAATCAATCTAGGACAGAATGGCAGGGAGGGGCCTCTCTAGAGAGGTTGGGGCAAATGTTATTGAAAAGATTTCTGGGATTATGCTTAAAATAAAGAAATAAAGCAGGATCCTAGTTCCTAGGCTTTCCATGGTATGTTTTTTTTCCATATGCTTCTTTTAGGGCTTTTTCCAGTCCACACCTCTCCCTATATCAGGGTGTACCCCATTTGTTCTGCACCTGTTTCTGTACCTCTGCCTTCCAGTGCACCAATCCAGGATGTCATCAACTCATGCTCTGCACAGACTACTTCTTCCTAATTTCCTGCTTCTCTTTCCATTTAAATTGTATTAACCTTAACTTAAGCCTCACTAAATTTCAGCCTCAGATTTTGGGTCCTTAAAAGGCACAGGGACTATTGGGAGGTGAAGGTGGAGAAGTAGCAGGGGAGGGACCCACCTCTCAGGGCCTTCTCTCATCACTCCTAACCTAGAATATGAAACTGACCAGAAACAGGAAGGAAAAAGGACCAAAAACTAAGAAGTGAAAAGAATCCGCTCCTTAGTGGAGCAAAGAGCAAACAAAGCACGCTGCTTGTGGTGGGGAGCCATCTTAGTGAGGTCACCTCAAGGCTTGTGGTAGGAAGGATAGCGTGTCAGAGAACCAGGCTGGAATAGCACATCGATTTTGTACCACCTCATCCACTGTCTCCCCAAATGGAATGTCAGATTGTTTCCTTTTGTATCCCCAGTTCATGGCACACAGAAGAGTTAAAGAAATGCTTGCTGATGGATCATTAAACTGAACTCTATGTGAGAAGAGATGGACTGACTACGGATGAGCCCCCTAAAGATGGTCTACAATTCAGCAGCTCAAACCTGGCTAAATTCTCTCACTGGGAACTCCAACTGCCCATAAGAGAAAACTTGCCTCCAATTCCTGCCTGGAATTATTTTCCAGCCCAAAACTCTCTTTAATTTTCATTTTCCTACATACAACAAAATCAAGTCCATGGGGTTCCATGTCTTTAATTCTCTGTGCTTGGTCTTTTTACAATCAAATCATCAGAAAAGTGCTGGGGCCCAGAGGGGAGGGTATTTGACACTTGCTAATAATATCCCCCCCAAACCAAAATTCAAGATTGGTTTTCAAACCAGACCACAAGGCCCCCAGATATTTCCTATACCTCCTTGATGCATTCCCAACTGGTTGAGTGGAGATAGGCTAGTGAGAGGAGCCAGGAAAGGTCCTCCACCAGGGCAGATTATGGTGAGCCAGTATTGTTGCCCAACCTCACCCCTAAGTTTCTTCTGAGACTTGGGGTAGTTAGAATTAGCATTTCTAATTGCCTACGATCTTCTCTTAAAAATATAAAACACGTGCAGTCAGCTTTGGTACAAAAAACAAAATAAAAAAACAAACACCAAAACACTGTGGTCCCAAAGGCTCTCCGACCATTACCACTGGTCCCACCCCAATCTCCAGTCCAGACCACTCTGGGTTCCTAGACACCTGGACCCCCCAGGAGCTACAATGGAGGTTGGAATGAGCAGCATTAGGAGGTCTGTAGTGGGAGGGACACTTGCCCTATCCATATCCCTTTTTAAAGGGCAGAAGGGTTCGGGTAATTTTGGCCCCCACTTAAATATGAGGATGAAGGGTGCCGGGTTGCAGTCCAGTAACTGAAGGGTTAACCCCTGGTTGGTCTTCCCTCCCCCCCTCCCCCAGTAGTGTTAAAGGGCCAGGTTTTCTGACCCTTTATGGCTTGGTTCCCTTATCCCTGGTCCTTTAAGTCCCTCCCTCCCACCCACCTAATAAACAATAAATAAATAAATCTTTCCAGATTGGGGGGGTGAGGGTGGGGTCTGAAAAATTGGCATCTGTGGTGCTGCTTGTGGATGCCACTGGAGGGCATATCCCACAGCTTTCTGACCCCCTCAAGCAACCCCACTCTCCCTGAGGTGGGAGGTTCTGGGGTGAGGGGTGGGGGACACACAACAGTCAGCAGTTCTATTAGGTGTCCCCTCCACCTATGTAATATGGACATCCAAAGGCTACTCCCCCAACTCTTCTTCCTCCAGTAATAGCCCTGGAGGGAATCAGGAAGGGAGTGAAAAGAGCCCCTTTAACTTTCTGAGGCAATAGGTTCTCCATCTCGACTCTCGCTCTCCTCTGGGATGTCCTGCATTCGGGGGAAATCTGCAAAGAGAGAGGGTGACCAATGAGCAGTGGCCCAGAAAGGAAATACCCACCACCTCCAACTTTCCTGCCTCTTGGGAGGCCCTGTGGTCAACCAATCACAGATAAAACAGGAAACCTGCCTCCCAGAGGACCTCTATCCAATAAGCACTTGACAAAACAGGAAGACCAGCCTGCCCCTACCCCCAGGGATCGTGTGCCTTCAGAAGAATTATCCTAAGCACTGCCATTCTAGGGGCTATGAGTGAGCCGAGGCAGTCAGAGAACCTGTGATGAATCAAAGTCAGAAATGAAGGGAGTTGGGGGGCAGCTAGGTGGCACAGTGGACAGAGCACTGGCCCTGAAGTCAGGAGGACCTGAGTTCAAATCTGGCCTCAGACCAAACACTTGCTAGCTGTGTGACCCTGGGCAAGTCACTTTAACCCCAACTGCCTTAAAAAAAAAAAAGAAATGAAGGGAGTTCCCCACTGTCCCCTACTATCTTCAGGTCTCTACTACCTGTACTGTGACCTTTCAGAGACTTACCTCGGGGGCTATGTGGTGGGGTCAGGCGACTACAACAGCTCTCCTCCTCACTGCCGGTATCAGGATCGCTGCTGTCTTGTAGCCGCTCCTCAGGACTGCCTAGCTCAGGCCCCTCTCGGTCCTCAAAGGTACGATGAATAGAGCGGGTAGACAAGGGCAGATCTAGGCGGTCGTGGCCTCGGCATATCTGGGGCACAGCCTGGTAGGTGGGGGAAGAAGGCAAGCAAGTGATACCTAACCCCACACAGGTGGGTTCAGGCGATAGACTGGGAAGAAGCCCCAAACCTTATTCTGTGCTCTCCCCCTCTCTTCTACTTGCCCTTGGCTCATTTACTCCAAAAACTAAACATCTTTTCAGGGAATACCTTAGGATTTCTTTCAGGCCTATCACTCAATTTCTTGTCAGTCTGCTGCGATGGAAGGGATGTCCAGTCCAGCCCATAACTAAGTAAGCATCCCCTCAATGATAATAAGCCCCAGACAACCCACTCATTTTAAGTTTTCCAATGTCTGTGTATCAGTAGCTTCTCACTAAAGCACAAGGGAGGGGCTCTGCTCACCTGGGAAGGGGGGGTGAAGCTCAAGTAGAGGGCATCCCCTGCAGGGAGGCTTCGACGCCGGGGGTCCAGAGGCCGGCGGGCCCAGGGAGCCTCAGCTGGGAGAGGCTCAGTCTGGCCCAGGGCAGCCAGTTGCCTTCTCGCTTCTTCTGCCTCACGCTCCAGTCGGGCGCGGGCTTGCTCGCTCTCCCGAAGACGAGCCTCTAACCCTCCTGCCTCGGCTGCCCGCTCCTCCCCCTGACGCCGGCATCGACGGAGCTCCTCTTGGAGCAGGGCGTGTTGTCGCTGCAGCAGGGCCAGCTCTGTGGCCTGCTTCTCTGGGGCCACAGGGGCACCCCCAGCCCTGCCTGCCTCCCCATCTCGAGAGTTGGCTCGGGATAACACTAGCTTCTCCCGTCGCTCGGGGCCCTCAGATAACCTCGCTTCCATCAAGGTGTCTTGCTGAGCCACCGCTGCCTGGGGTGGAGTGAGTAATAAGGGTGTATGGGTCACAATTATCCTTCCCTGACCACCCCACCAAGGACCCAGTATAGTCAATCCTTCCTGGGATACCCAGGCTATGAGTACTTGGAAATATTCTTGAGGACAGTAGGTCTCCCCATCCCCCACCTCTATGAATTATGGCTTTCCATTCTGATTTTGCTTGCCCCCTGGAGTCAGATTCCTTTCTACCACAATAGACCTTGTCCCCTATGCTCCAATCAGCCCTCACTCACCTGAAGGCCATGGAGAAGTCCATACAGGTTGACTAGTCGCTGCAGGGCCTCCTGAGGACAGAAGAGTGGGTGGGAACAAGACACATACATTCAGATTCAGAGCTAAATGAGGGGTGGAGGGGAACATGTCAGTTGATCCCAGATAGGTAATCTCTCTTGCCATCACCCTAAATTAGGCTCTAATTGCTTTTCTGGTCAGGGGCCTCCATTCCCCCAGTCTTTCATCATCAACCTTATTACCTTGTTCTCCCATCTTACCTCCTGGGGAGATCTCAACTGGTTCCCATTTCGATCCTGCAGTGAAGGGAAAGATGGGGAGTTGAGAGACTATTCAGGTCTCAGCTCCTTAGCCCTCCAGGGTATTATCCTTTGGCCCCCAGAGACTCTAGATGAAGAGGCCAGTCATCTAGTCCCCATCCTAGCCAAATCTGAGAGCCCCACCGAGGACTCACCCTCTGACTTGCATCTGAGTCAGCTCTGCAGAGCTCAATGGAACCATTGAAAGTCCTTGTTTCACCATCTATCGGGGGACAAGAGAAAGAGATGAGCCTAAATTCCTGGTCTAGTGGAGAGGGTGCTGGATTTGGGAGTCTGGAAGACCTAAGTTTAAAGCCCGCACCTGACATACGCTAGCTGGGTGATCAGAGAAGAGTTACCTCTCAGACCTATAATGTCTACCTCACAGACTTCCTGAGAAGCTCCAATGAGGTGAAATAGGCAGAGTGCTTGGCACACTTCAAACTGCTGCATAAAGACTTGTTACTAATAATTTCTCTCAATCCACCCCTCCTTCTCCCCTTGGTCTCTTCCCATTTTTTCCCTTTATCTCCTCCCATTTTGGTCACCACCTTCTCCTGCTCCTGCCTACTTCCCCTCTGAGTCCTGCAGTCCCCTCTGCCCCAGGCACTCACTGGTAGTGACCCCAGGGCTGGTGTTGCCACTGCTGTCAGGCTCCAAGGACAAGGCCGATTCCCGTGCAGGCAGGGGCAGATCTAGCCCAGGTCCAACTAGCAGGTCCTTCAGGTTCTCCACTGTGGGAAGGAAAGAAAAAAGAAGGTTAAGGAGAAACAGAGCTGGGTACTTGAATAAAAAGGGAACTAACCCTAATGGCTAAGTGTTGAAGATCAAGGGGAATAAGAGACACATCCATGTGAGGTAGGGATGAGGGAAGGGGAGATAATGGCCACCCAGGCACATCGAGATAAGGTTAAGTACAGTGTATTCATGCCTATCTGTGTGTGCACATCTGAATTCTGGATGAAGTGTGTCTCAGTGGATCTATCTCTGAGGGCTCTCTTACCCTCACGGATAGCATCCTGTAGCAGTCTCTCCCCACGAGGGGATTCCAGAGATTCAGAGCGGAAGAGGCCACGGGGCAAGGTGGGCAGTGGCCCTCCACCCCCTCCATCTTCTTCTGCCTGGAACTGCGTCATCTCAGCAAAGAGTCCCACCTTCTCCTGCAGCAGCTCCACCAGTGCCCTGTCCTTCTGCTGCAGCTCCGCTGAAGATACAGGGCAAGCAGGGAGGGAGAGACAAAGGGCAAAGAGGGTGAGAGGAACCAAGCCAGAAGGCTCCAGGATGAGCAGGAGTCAGGGACAGAGTGGGGGCATAGGAAAAGAAGCTAGAGAAACAAAGTGAGTATCCATCAGTTGGGAAATGAGTGAACAAATTATGGTATCTGAACATAATGGAATATGACAGCACCATAAAAAAAAGATGATGGATTCAGAGAAACCTAGGAAGATTTGGATAAACTGATAGAGAATGAAATCAGCAGAACCAGAGTGCTGATCAGTGCAATGACCATGATTAATGAAACATGCTTCCCACCTCTTGGCTGAGAGCTAATGGGTTAGAGATGCTGAGAAGATGGCCAATGTCTGGATTTATTTTGGCTTTGCTAAACTTGTTACAAGGGAGGACTGCTATTTGTGGGAGAGGGCTTCAAGTGGGGGCATTTGGTGGGTAGTGATTGTGATGGGAAAAAAAAAGGAAGAAAAATGCTAGAGTGGGAAGAGCATGGAGTAAGAAGGGTATGATGCTTACTTTTGATCCGTCGAAGATAGGCCTCGTCTTCTGTTTCAATCAAGGGGAAGTCTTCTCTGGATGGACACCTATGATGGACAGATGGGGCAAATCAGAGCTGAAGGTGGGAAAGGACTTAGAGGCCAAAGGTTAAGATACCCCTATGACCTTTCATGCCTGCTGTTTCCTCTACCCAGGACACTACCCACTTTTACCATGCTCAACTTTGGTTCCACATTTCCCTCTTCTAGGAAGTCTTTCCAGGCTGACCACCTCCCTTGCCCTGGCTGTGTTCACTTAGCCAATCTTTACTTTACAAAAAAAAGCAATAGATCTGCTCTGGGTTCTACAGAACCCCCTCAATCCATAACATCTAACACAATAAATACTGCTGACTGACACACGTGGAGAGGCAGACATGGGCCTTCCCTAGAATACTCACACACGCACACTCTGCTGGATGACACGGATCCAAGTGTTTCGGTCCTCTCTGGAGGCTGTGTGGACCTCATACATTTCAGGGGGAGCAGCGCTGATCAAAAACATCCCCTTTTCTTGGTTAGCAATGTCCCGAACAATCAGGTTCTGCAGTGAGATTACTGCTGGCTTGTCCTGACAGAGAAGGAAGAGAGAAAGAGGAGTATGAGGAGTCCGAACATCTCAGACTTCTTAGGAAATTTGTCCCTTCAAAGTGTTTAGAGATCTGTTGGAGCTACGGGGTGGGTGTGGGGGACTGGCATCCCGCCAATTCAAAGGAAAAAATGGACTCTGGAGACTCTAGAATTCTTTAGGGTTGGGGGTGCCTAGCTGACTGAGAGGTAGGAGAGGAGAGGAATGGTCTTACCAAAGCAGGAAAGATGTATTTCTGGTCCTTCTCCTGAAGGAACACTAGCACATCTGTCATCAGCAGCATCAGCACATCTGGCAGGAGGGGTGACAGGTCAGCACTGGATGAACTAGAAACTTGATTTTCCTTTTCTCTCACCTCAGACCAGTCTTGCCTCACTAGATGATAGCTCCTAACTCCTCTCCTTCCCCCGATCTTTGCTTTTCCTCTCAAATTCCTCAAATATCCCTCCTTCCTATATTTCAGAAATGGGGATAAGGGGCAGGGAGGAGGTGACTTGTGGAATTCCAGGTTCACCTTGGGCTGGAAAGGGACTTGAAGGATTATTCAATTTATTCCATGCCTCTGGACAGGATGACTGATGCCCCATCTAGTCCCATGTGAATATCTCCTATAGCCAAAGTCTCCATTCCTTTTTAGACTGCAGTTCCCATACTTTCCAACTGACTCAAGTCCTTTTTGATACCTAACCTAAATCCCTCCTACTGCAGCATATGCCCACACCCTCTCATTTTATAGTCAGTGTTGGAGAACAGCAGGTCCCTCTCTGCTGCAGAATTAACCTTCACAGACTCTAGGATCCTTACCAAATCTTACTGCCACCACCCCCAATCTCAGATTGATCTTCAGGTTAAACAATTTCATCTTTCTTCAGCCCTTCACTTCCCTTTCAGTCTTTCCAGCTCCCTCCCCTGACCTTTTCCTCCCATCCCTCTGACTCTGTGGGACTCCTGAGCAGAAGACAAAGGTCAACCCTATAAAATGAGGAAGTCAGCTCTGGAGAGAGATATCTTCTTCCCCCTTGCCCTTAGGGACCTTACAATCCTTTGGGCATGGCAGGGAGAAGAGGAGGTGTTTTGTCAAATATTTCAGAAAATAAAGTTCTCCAGCCTTGCTATTTTTAACCTCTATGGTTTATATTCTTAGCTGCTGCGTGGGAGGGATGGGAGAGAGGGGAGTGGAAGGAAGGAGGAGGATGGTGAAGACTGACAAGATGCAAGCAGAAGCTTGGAAGTTTTATAAAGGGAGGACAAAGGTCCAGTTTAGCTCTGGTGAAGCCGACTTGAACCAAAGAGAATCTGTTCCCACTGCAAACCAATTCTGAGAAGAAGGGGAGTGGGAAAACCTGCCCTCATTTTTCCACTGTAGCCACTCTGCTCTTTGTCCATTGCTGTCTTTCCTCTGCCCTCCTCCAGAAGCCTTCCTGCAGGAGATCAACTCCCAACAGTCCTCTTAGCATTGGGATTTTAAGACAGACTTTTTTTTTGTTCTATCCATCTGTGCCCTAGGAGAACTGTCTCTCACTCTCTGAAAATGGGAGTTCCCCAAGGCTTCAGTATTGCCTTGGAAGCACATGTATTACAGTGGGGTCTACAGAAGATGATGATGCCCTCAAAGGGAAGTTTATCTTTCAGTTAACAATGGGAACAAGGGCCATAAACTTATTTAACTGAAGAAGATATCTCTCTTCCTCTAAGGTTATCTTCTGGGTCGGATATGAACTGTCTTTTCCTCTGTCTGTGTAAAATCACAGGCCACAGGGTCAGGAAGAACTGACCTTTGAAACGCCCTGTGGCTGTCTTCCACAGCAAGCAACCATCATGTATTAGCTTTCGACGCAAAAGCTCTTCTCGGCCAAAGGGACCCTTGCTAGGCACCGGGGCCTGGGCACGGGGGTCTGTACGTCCATAGATTTCCTGCAGGCGAGCTCCCTTCTCTAGCTCGTGCACCTCCTGGTCTACTGCTGATAACAGCTCCTTCACCAGCCCCAAGGCTGTTGTCAGGTCCCTGTGTTCCTCTTCACTGCCTGAGGAACAGCAAGGGGAGTCAGGAATAACGAGGTTTCCCTCCTACCCACCCTAACTCTATCTATCTGGCCCCTCTCCCAAAGGCTGTCTCTAGTCCTGTCAGCTTCCTGGGCCTCCAGGTCTACCTCCATAGGCTGGCTCTGCCCCATCCACAGGCTCAACCCTCCTCACCACGGGAATGCAGCAGGATCCGATCGATGAGTACAGGGTACTTGGTGATACGCTGTGTCACCAGCAAGATGCACTCCTGCACCCCATGCCGCCGAAGCACTGTGGAACGGGTCACCTTCTGCAGAATCAGGATTAGACCAGAAGAAACAAGGTCAGATGGGGTGGTTATTTCTGGGGTGGGGTTTGATGGGGCAGAACAGAAAGGGCAGGGTGACAGAGGCAGGTCCAAGACCATCAGTGGAGCTTCCAATCCCAAAGACTTTAGTTCCCTACCCAATACATAAGCTAGATATAAAGAAGGTCCTTAGAGTTAAGGACCAAATGGAGTTCTAAGTAGAGGTCATAGTAAAGTCTTACTCACTCTGATGAACTGTTGGAAGCGTTTATCTCGAGCATATAGTTCCTTGTAGAGTTTTAGTGCCTTGGTGTGACGACTACAGAACTCAGAATAGGCCTTACGCATTTGCTCTGCACTGGAGCCTGAGAACTAGAAGCAGAGAGAGTTAACATAGCCGAGGCCCAGACTATGTGGGACCTTCTACTTCAAAGGGAAGTCTTTGCTTTCTCTAACTCCCCTTGTCTCCTGCAATCCTTGAGGTTGCAGAAAAAATTCTCACTTTCTCCACAGCCTGTCCTATTCCCACTACCTACACCCTCCAGCAGGCTGGCTCTCCTCTCCTCACCTGGCTAATGAGCAGGTCCCCTAGTCGGTGGATGACAAAGTTGCGGGTGCTGCCTGGGCAAAGGGCCTGGCGCCGGCGCTCTAATAGCTGGCTGAGGAAGCGGGTGTGGATATCGCTGAGCTCATCCACGCAAGGAAAAAGGCCCTGCACCAGGGCTGGCTCCAGCTGTAGCTCCTCCAACAGCCCTGTTCGGAACAGCCGGGTCATGATCTTCAGTGTCCTCACATGGTGTAGCTCTGTCTGGATCAGCTCTGGGTGAGGCAGGCCAAAGTGTCAGTCAAGGAGCAAGGGGGCAGGCCGACTGACCATTTACTATTTCCTGTCAGTATCTAATTCTTTCGGGCCGTGACAATAATAGTAATATTTACAAAATGCTTTTAGGTTTGCAAAGTGCTTTATATCCATTTCTCATATGATTCTCACAATGGCCCCTTAAAGTAAGAGGTACTGTTATTTCCATTTTACAGAGGAGGAAACAGACTTAGATTAAGGAACTTACCCAGAGTCACACAACTAATAAGTATCTAAGACAGGATTTCAACCTAAGTCTTCCTGACTCGCAGCTCAGTTCTCTATCCACCATGTCAGGATGCTTTTAGCTAGTTGGATTATAGATCTTGAGGCAGAAGAGACCTTGACCTCCTTCTTTTATAGATAAAGAAACTGAGGCCCACAGAGTGGGCCTTGCCCAAAGTCACATAGATAGCTCATCTCCCTATATCATAAAGTCCTTCAGGGAAGATCTGAATCCTTCACAGTACTAAACACAGTCCTAGGCCCCATAGCAGGGTTCCATGAAGAGTTGGTGATTGCCCAAGTTGAATTAAAAGGACAGACAGAGGCTAATAGGGCTTTAAGGAGTGAGTCAGAGAGTCCAAGATAGGGCCCTACTCAGAAACCAATTGGGGAAGCACTGGGGAAGTAACTCAGCACAAGGGGCCTTAGGTTCCACTGAGCCCTGGGGCCCTCGCTTACCATAGATGACATCCTGACGCTTCATCACCTCTTTTTTGTGCTGCTGTAGGAAGCTACTGTCTACTGCCAGACTCCAGGAATCTGCTGCAAAGTCCTTCTCATCTGTCTCAAAGTCACTCATCAGCTCATTGTAAATCACCTCTGCACCTGGGGGAAAGGTGTGATGGAGCCTCAGAGTAGTGTTTTCTCCCCCTGAAGCCCAGATTCCAGTCTCATGAGGCCCCAAGGCCTCCCAGGCAGAACCTCCTCTCGCACGGCTTTTCACCTGTTTTGATTCCTTACCCTCATCTATGAGAGACTCCACAGACAGCGTTCGGTTTCGCATGTTGAGGGAGTCTGTAGACTGAGAAAGGATCCTTCGAAGACCCAAAGGGGACTCATCATTGAAGTGCCTAAGTGGAAAGGGTATACGTGTTTCAACTAAAGGGAACGGAGGCTGAAATACCTGGAAACCCTTACTCTATGCTTATCTCTAATTTCCAAGTCAGGGACAGACAAGATACCCATCATGCCTCTCATCTTTCTAACTAAACAAGAAGCCAGGAATGCTTCTGGCATCAGCCTTCCCACTTGTCTAGACAAATACTCCTTTTCCCCACCAAAAAACTCCAATAGCTCACCCAGCAATGTTGGTAGTGGAGACGCTCTTAGACAAGGAAAGGGAGGACCGGCCTCGTCGAGAGCCAAGTAGGGACTGGCGAAAGCTGTCAGAGGGGTAGATAGCAGAGCTAGGGCGCTCCCGGATGGTGGCTGTGGGAATAAGGAAGTGGGGAAAACCCAGCCCGGGTAGTGAGGAAGGTAGGGGAGACCCATGGGTCTCTTCTTTGCCTGAGGCAAAGCTCCTTCTCTATCCTTATTCAGAATTAGATATCCCTACCCCATCACACACATCCAAAACAAGGTAGGGAAACCCTCTCCAAGCCTCTTTCTTAATACTTATTTGGACCCTAGTATCCTAGCCCTCAACCCTACCCAGAAGGAATCAAAGGAATCTAAGAAAATCTAAGAATACCCCTCTAGTTCTGCCACTGTGAAGGAGGAAGGGAGTGGCCTGAAGGTGGCAGCAGAGACCAATATCTAGACTGCCATATGGGAAGTGGGATGTGGGTTGTACTTACTCTTGCTCCTAAGGGAGACGGACTGCAAAGCTGTGCTGTTCTTGAGCAGGGCAGCCTTCTGTTGCTTTAGGGCAGCAGGGCAAACAGAGAATATCCATTACCCAACAGGCACAAAACTAGTTAACTGGCTCCTAGGCTGATGCTCAAGTGAAGGGCCCACCTCCCTTGGGTAAGCCTGGGATGGGAGAGCACTGCCCAGAGAAGTAGCTAAGTTCCTAGCAGGTAGAGAGGAACACTGAGGATTTAGAGGGTAGCCATTCAACACCCTGTCTGGACTGCCCCAGGGAGAGTGGAGGAGTTTAGAGACTTCACCAACTCAGCTCAATACCCATAGGGGCATGGCCTTCTTATTCTCTAGAACTCTGTGCTTGCTCCCTGCCTTCTCACCTTCTGCTTGACCTTGGTGCAGTTGGCAAGAGCGTCTTTACAGCGGTTATGGATGGTCACGTTGCAAGCTGGGAAGATAGGATAGTAAGAGTCAAAGGAGGGGACAGACACATGCACAGTATATACATCCCCACCCACAGAAGGACAATCCCACCATTGTCCCTCACCCCTAGTTCTTCATCTACTTCCCCTCTTCAGGGTCTCAGCCTCCTGTTCGTCACTTCATGAAGTAAAGGATAAGGAATGCCCTCACCTGCCCTGATGCCCTACTTGGCTCCTTCTAGTCAACAGGAAATAAAAGGAGAAGGGAACAAGTTCTGGGGGCTTAGTTCAAAGATGCCTGGGGAGATAAAGGAAGGGGGTGGCCTACTGCTGGGCACCAGAGTTAGCACAGGGTTGGGTACAGAGCACAAAGCCAGCTGGAAGAGAGAGAACTCAGAGAAGTGGCTGCTGCAAAGGCAGCAAACTGGCACCAACATGGGAATGGGGGTAAGAACATGACCACAGATGCTTTCTTTAGGCCTAAGCAGCTCAGAGTTAGGCTGGGGAAGAATATGGACCTCAAAGACCTCTAGGGTAGGCCAAGGCCCCAAATTTGGTCTAGTTTCACCTTCAGCCTGTTTCTCTTTCCTTCCACCATTTGGCTCCTACCTCTAAGAACTCAGCAGTACCTGCCCTTCCAGGACTCAGGCACTGAGAGTCCAACCTTTTGAATGGTGCACACCAACCACATCTGCCCTACATCTGCCTCTCACTCACCAGGAGCTTTCTGAGGCCAGGAAGCCCCAGGTGAACAGCAGGCAGGTAGGAGGGCAATAACACTGAAGCAGGGCTGGTCAAAAAGCCAAACCTAAGAATGAGACTGACCAGCCCTCTCCTTCTCCATCATACACTCCGCCTCCTCCAGCTTCCCCTTCCCCACCCCAACCCACTGCATCAACACCGGAAACTCTGCTAACTCCTTCAGACAATACCCAGAACCCTGTTTACTTCCACAAATACATGTCAAACAGGGTGGGGCCAGGGGGGCAGGGGAAAATAGGTGTTAGGAGAGTTTCATCCTCTCCAGAGAGCCTTCTTCCAACCCCCACCTCTTGGTGTCTCTGGATTGAACCTCCGCATTCCACCTGCTCCCAAAATAGCGCCACCCGCCTCCCTCTGTTCCCGTGGTAACAGGCTTCCGGATTGGGAATTTTCTCAGGATCTCTGGAGGGATCTAGATTGGGGATCCCTCCTCACCTCCACATCCCTCCGCCACCTCCCAACCTGAACTAGGGAAGAGGTTTCATAAGTTCTACTTACAGTGTCCCTTCCCCAAACTCCATGGGCATTTGAGAATTAGGGATGAAGGCCCCCCTTATTGCCATATTAAAAACCCTTTTTCAGTGCATTCCCAATCAAAACCATTCCTTTGGCTCCTTTTTTTTTTTTTGGAGGGAAGGGAAACCTGGGAAGCAAGGTTAAGTAGTCCTCCTTTAAGATCTTTCTAGAGGTCTCAGGGAGAGAGGGAACCCTCTTGATCTCATTCCAGCCTACTAGATTTGGATCTACTTTAAGATTTAGGAGGAGGCCAGAAGCACTCACTTCATAAACCTGATATGCCCTCCCTCTATCACAATGGAGCTGGACTAGAAATTGGGGAATATCAGAACCTATAATTCCATTCTTTCTTTTTTTTTAATCCCATTCTTTTCTCTAGACAGAGATCTCAAGCCTTGTTCCCAGCTTAAATGAATAGGAAGGAAGGGGCAAATGGATCCTGGAGTCCTGACTCCTAGTCCTCTCCAAGGAGATTGACAGGGCCAGCTGCAAAGTTGGCAGTTTTCTAGTTCCACCCACTACTGCCCCACATTCCTTATCTTCCTTCATCCTATTACCCTCAGCCTTCCAGTTGTTCCTGGGACAGATGTTACAGAATTGAGAACCCGAGGAGGAGGAAAAGTCACTGGGGGGATGCCAGAAGAACAGCTGCAGGGGAGATGCCCCACCACATGTTTCCTTTCCCCCTCTCCCTCTGACATCCTCTTCTAACATATTCCCACGGCCACCCACTCCTCAGAATAAGAGAGGGAAGCACAAGATATAAGCTATCTGACCCTAATAGTTAAAGAGTTTATAGAAGCAGGGAATCTTTAAGGCTCAAAGAAGGAAAGCAGGTACAAAGACATAAGGGCCAGATAAGGGCAAACTGGTAGCAAACCTCAGGGTCCTGGTCACTTACTTGGGCAGATAAGGGCTTCCTTAGCCGTGATGCTTTTGTTACAAGCATAGCACATCGTCATGCCTGATACAGAGATGGTGGTGAAAAGGTGCCCATTGGTATAGCGGGCATCCTTGGCTTCTTTCATCTTCTCTTTTTCCCGGTTCTGTAAGGAAGATGAAAAGATGGAATCAAGCTAGAGAAGACCTGGGGCAGAATACCAGAGGGTCTAGAGAGATAGTTAGATAAATAGATCACAATTATTAGTGATCAGCAGATCCTGCCTGGGGACTGCCAGAAAGACAGTAATCTGGGGCAGTGATTCCTACCCAGTGATGCTAAGGAAATAGCCAGCTGCCCAAGAGGGCCCTCCATTTATCTTCCAACCATCCATCGGTGACTGGATCCCAGAGGAGTCACCTAGGTCCCCCTACCCACCTGGCCCCGACGGCTTGGCTGCCTCCGATTGCCACTCATCTTTCCTGCTTTGGTCTTCAGAATCCTCACCCACAGCCCACCCTCACCCCCAAGGCCTGGGCTCTCCTCGTCCCCTTGAGCTTCTGTGTTCCCTCTGCCGGGAGAAGATGCGCAGAGAGGAGGGTAGTGCAGGAAAGGCAGAGGATGCCAGCTCACCAACTCTGGGAGTTAGCTCCTCTTATAACCATGACAACCAGTGTCAGAGCCACCGTCACTGTGGCAGCCACAGCAGGGGGAGCAAGGAGATTCCCCTGCTCAGACTGGGTGGGGGTAGGAGTCCCACCCCCAAGACCAAAAGTCAGAATCTCCAAGCTTTGACCCCACCCCATTAGAGCTAGACTTTCCCTTTCACCTCATCCTAAATAGACAGGGATTTTTCCTGGGAGATGGGGGTGGGGTCATTATGTCTATCCCCCTGTCTCTAGGCAAGATGAACCTTTTTTCAGACTGAACCAATTTGGGGCACTCTTTTTCTTTTAGATCTAGATCTAGGAAAGGAAATTCTAAAGTCTCCCTTGCTGCTGTCATAAAGTCTGTCCTGGAGTCTAACTTTGATGCCTTTTACCAAATTAACCCCTTACCTTTCACTTTACCCTTTTCAGAGAGAGGAACTTCTTTCTTCATTTTTCTTAAGTTTTTTAAGCCCAGAAATGCCTTTCTACTGTCTGACCTAAATCCCTTCTCCATGACAGCATTAGTTCTAACTTCATGGATATGGAAGAAAATGCAGTTTTCCCCTATATACATACCAATCTGAGAAATACATCAAGTCTCAGAGGCTAGATACTGTCAACCTTCCTTTTAGCCTTATTTCTTACATTTCTAAAGAGATTAAAAGTTTACAAAGCAATTTCATCACTTGAACCTTATAAGATAGGTTCACAGGTATTATATCCATTTTTAAAGATAAAGGTCACAAAGCTGATGGAGTTCAACTGTGAACTCAAATCTCTCCTGACTCCAGAAGTGCTGTTCCACTGTGGCATCCTGCCTCATCCATTTTCCAAACCCCTAATTCAGACAATTTCCTAGCTCTGAGGCACTCTCCTCTGAATTCTCGTGTACCTTTCTCCAGCACCCTAAGCCTCCCAAACAGCCAGTGAAGATGAAGAGATGACAGCACCACCATCTCTATGTATCCATATACTCTAGGACCCTCCTAAGTGGCTTCCTGAAGCTGATCCTTAAAGGAAAAGGGCAAAAGAGAACAGAAAATGCCAGTCCCTTGACAGACATCATGACATAGAAAAAGAAAAAAAACAAACCACTGCTGGACTTGAGGGCAGGAAAAACCTGGACTCAACCTTCACCTCTGACATTTACTAGCTATGTGACTACTGGCCACGTGATTTAACAACATGAAGTCTATTTGCTTATCTGTAAAATGGGCATGGTAATATTTATACACCATACAGTTTTTGTGATGCTTAAACCCTGAAGTATTATATAAATGTTAGCTATTCTCCCCCTTCAACCTCGAAAACAGAAACTGGAGATACAGTCCTGAGTTTTCCTGAGACACAGATATGGCCACAATGCCCCTCTGCTCAAAGATCTTCAGTGGCTCCCTACCTACCCAGGCAAGTTCAAATGCCTTTGTCTGGCCTTTAAGGTCCTCTGCTCTATCTTCCCAGCCCTCACTACTATAGAAAGCCCTCCAGAGATGTTATTTCCTTTATTCCTCACAACTATCTGGAAATAGGTTCTAGGTATTCCCCTTCTTATTCTGATTTTTTTTTAAAGACAATTGGGGTTAAGTGACTTGCCTAGGGTCATACAGCTAGTAAGTGTCTGAGGACACATTTGAACTCAGGTCCTCCTGATTCCAGGGCTGGTGTTCTATCCACTGTGTCACATCGATGCCCCTCATTCTGATTTTTCAGATGAGGAAATGGACACTCCCAGAGTTAAGTCACTCCCCTATTGCCCCAGAGCAAGTAACAGCTGGAGGCAAAAATCAAACACAGACCCCACCAATTCTAAGTCCACCAGGCCACTAAGCCAAGGTCCCGCTTCAGCACTCTATATTCTGACCAAACAAAATGAGTTTCTCTCCTAAACCTCAACTTTCCTTAACCCCTGTACTTCTGCCCAAATTATTTCCCATGCTTAAAATGCTCTCCCTGCCTCCTTCATCCAGTGAATTCCTAACTATCCTTAAAAGCTTAACTCAAATGCTCCCTCCTCCCCACTAAGCCTTCCCTAAAATCCCTTGTTAAAGGTAACTCTTCCATGAGATTTTGACCTTGGTCCTAGTCCAATCCTTTTGTTTTTTTTTCTTTTGGCTAGGCAATGGGGTTCAGTGACTTGCCCAGGGTCACACAGCTAGTATGTGTTATATGTCTGAGGCTGGATTTGAACTCAGGTCCTCCTGAATCCAGGGTCGGTGCTCTATCCACTGAGCCATCTAGCTGCCCCCCAATCCTTTCATTTTACAGAGGAGGAAACTGAGGCCCTGAAAGGTTAAGTTACTTATTCAAGGTTATATATAGGAGGTAGTACATGCAAAGCTGGGATTCAAATCCAGGTTTTCTGACTCCAAATTCAGCACGCCTTTTTCCTCAGACCTCCCATGACTTTTGTTTTCCTAACGTACTTCATATGCATATTGTAGATAACAGTAATCATACTATCTTATCCTCTTGCTAAACTGTAAGCTCCATGAAGGCAGGGCTACATCTTATACTAAATGTAGTCCCTCTTATGTCACTAAAATACCCAAAATAGTGTGTGTACACACACACACACACACACACAAGGAAAAAAAAACCCTTTAATATTCCATGTTGGAAAGGCTTGGGGAAGAGGTACTTTATTATATTGCTGGTAGGACTGTACGAACTTTTTGGACAGCAATATGGTCATATAATGAGTCACAAAACTGATCATACATACTCTTTGACAGTTAAGACTTTATCCTAAAAATACCATATAAAGAAAAAAAATCTGTCTTGATCAACTTTTTATCTTTCTTAGCACCTAGCATACAGCTCTATGCCCAATAGCTCTGCAAACCCTAGATGAATGCCAGGTATAATTAATGACTAGGAATTCTAGAGGACTCAAACCAGGTTCTGGGAAACTCATTTAGAGGGATTATATAGTCCTGGTTCCCAGTCTGAATCACCCTAGCACAGAGAGGGTTAAGCCTGGGGTCAAAAAAGAGGAAGTAATGGAAGGTTGAGTCAGAAGAAGGGGCTATATAAGGGCACAAGACCTGGATTGGGGGGGGTCCACTAAGCATTCTTAGGGCACCGCAGAACCCTATCTTCCCCTTTGAAGGGTCTCCCACATTTGGCTAGAAATAAGCAAAGTCACTGGTCCCTGATACCCTCCCACTTCTTGTCTCTTTTCCAAACCTGTCTCTTCCTGCTCCATTTTTTTCATCCCCTTCTACCCCTCCTATCTCTCTCTTTTTCTCTATTCCTTTCCTCTCCCTCCTCCTCACTTCCCATCTACCTTTTTATTTTTTTACTCTACCCACCTCTCCAGTCCTCCCCAACTACAACTTTATCTATGGTATCCCTTCCTTTCCCTCCATGCAGATTAATTTCTATCTACTACTACTTTCATGACAACTGTAAATCCACCTTCCACTCCCCCAATTCTGAGACCTCCCTCCCCACCTGAAAATCCTTTCTCAGTAGTTTGATCTAACAGCCTCTCCTCCAGTATTACAGGTTCCCCCCAATAACCTTTTATGCCCTTAAGGATCCCTCCCCCAATCCATCTTTACCTTTCCTTCACCTTCCTATACCTGGATCAGGGTTGGCTATATAGCTCTGCCATCCTAATAGCATAGTGCTCCAGATTGGCCCTACACCCTGGCACTTCTTTTTTTATACTCCTGCCTCAAATCACAACTCTATCTTCAGATCTCCAATAATTTCCTTTGCCCAGATAGCTCTTGTTGTCTTCTACATTCCAAATTTTGGAGGCAAAGAATCCATGGAATTGGGGTTAGGATATGGACAAAACCAAGGAAGCAAGAAGCTTAGGGGCAGCCCTAGAAAAGGGGAATATGGGATAGATCCCTTCCTTCCTCAGGTATCTATGCCTTTGAGTCCACTAGAAGCCTTGAGTGGCTAAGGCCACTGGCACACTGGTGCTTGAAACCCTGCCTAATTCAAGCTCCTAGGAACTTACCCTCTCCTGAAGTGATCCCTTTTCTGGCCCGGTAAACAGTGGGCAGCAGCAACAGCACATAGCGGCTTGGGTGCTGCCAAGAAGGGAGCTGGCCCCTGGCACTGCCTAGTGCTATTGTAGGAGGTAGTTTGTGCCCGCCCTAGCATTCTGGGTTGGAGGAGATGAACCAGACTGCCAGAGGAGCAACTCTAGGGTGAGCTGGATAGTTTATTATTTTTTTACGAAGCCCCTTTGCTATTATCACTCCCTCAACAAGATGGGACTTCCTCCTAACCCACTTCCCTCTCCTCAAAGACCTCCAGGGAAGGGAATGCTATTCTTTAATCCAGGGTGTCCCAGCTTCAATCATCAGAAAACCTTTTATGCTAATTTCCATCTTTCTTAATACAACTTTCAGTCCTTTCTGACTAGTTTGTTTCCTATGGAGTTAAAAATACATCAAGGTCTCTCCCCCTCATTTCTGGTTTCACTCACCAAGGTACCCTCCTTGTTGCTTTAATTTCTGTTGCTGTAATAACAGCCTCTTCCAGACCATAGGATCAT